CCATGCTGCACTGCTGAGGAAACCTCTGTCGGACCTCTAGACAAGCTCATCAACTAGGACAATACTAGCCAGCACCACTGGGTCCCTGCATCAAAAGAGCACACCAACCTGCCATTGTGAGGCAAGGTCTAAACCCCTTTGGCCCCACATACAAGTAATCAGGGATCAGCTATCTCTTCATTCTTTATTTCCCCCTTCTCACTCTCCTCCATCTTTACCATCACAGACAATCTTAGAGAACACAGTGCTTTTTTTCTCTTTCTCCTTCCTTTTCCTTTTTCTCTTTCTCTCCTATTTCTTTCTTTGTTCTCTTCGCTTCTCTCACTGCTTGTATGATTCTCTCTTCTCCCTCTCATTCCCTTTACATGCCACTGCTGGTTCCCAGACCCCTACACTCTGCCTAGGGCAACCCTGTCCTCCCAGTGGGCAGCCTGACTCCTAAGACAGTGCTCCATACAGGACAAGTCAGTGCTACACACAGCAGAGCACAGGGTCAGCTATTTCTTTATCAATTTTATCAGCTCTGTCTCTCTCTCCTTCCTGTTTTTCTTATTTTTTTACTTTGTGTTTTCCTTTCACTTTTTTCTTCTTCTCTTATTCTAACTCTTCTCTCTATCCTACCACAGCCTCAGCAGATTAAGTTCTCCTTCCTTGCTGTTTTCTTTCTTTCTTTCTTTTCTTTTCTTTTTTTTACTGTTTTCATTTTTGTTTACTCTGTGCAATCTAGTTGAGTGTGGGTGAGTGGGTATCAGTTTGCTAGACATTGGTGCTCCAGTCTGTGTCTTCCTCTTTCCCTCCTTTTCCTCTCCTTTCACTCTCTTTCCTGTCACAAGCCACTAGCGGCCACAAGGCCACTCCCCTCTGCCTAGGGCAACTGGGAAGGCCCAAATGCAGGAGCTCCCACCCACATTTATAGGCCTGGCAAGCAGCTGGGGAATTCAAGCAAGTCCTCTTCCACACACCAAGCAGCAGAGGGTTTTCCCCTACAAAAAGTAGGGGAATCCCCAGCATAAATCTCGAGGCCCCACAAGTGACTGGGAGAAATGCCTGGCCCCCACTGGTGGGGCTCCAAGCTATTGTGTGAACACCCACCTAATCTCCAAGGTGATCTCTCTGTCTACAGTAATCCCCATACCAGCTACAGAGCTCTATACCAAGGTGGGTATACCCAAACGCCCTCCTCAGCACTCTAGTCACAGAGGAAAACACCACAGGTCAGCCATGGTGCTCCAAGAACCGTGAAGCCCACTTAGAGATCGGCCATGGAAGCAAGGCCTTCGTGGGCCCACAGCAACCCAACCAGTGTCACATGAGAGGAATATCCAACAAACATTCCAAGTAACGGAATATAGCATCTGGGGTCTTAAAGTCTTGAAGATAAATAAGCGGCCAACTAGCTTAGAAGCAACAAAGCACACATGAAAGAAGCACAGCAGCATGTGTGACCACAAGCTGTCAAAGGGATCAGGTATCAAGCATCAAAGAACAAAAAATCATATCATTGTAAAGGTGGGTGAGTGCAGAGTAGAGACTCAAAGTTCATCAGTAGTCAACTGAACACTCCCTTACTGAAGGGTTGTGGGGGGGAAACTATCCAATCAGGGTGCAAGGTAGCAACGATGAAACATATAACTTTCCTCTAGTTCTTAAATGCTCACCCCCTCCTCACTATCATGATCCCAATTTTACCTTACAAATATGGCTAGACCAGAGGATGTACATTGGTACAGACAGCAACTGGAAACACAGGGAATCCAAGATAGATGACTCCTTCAGGACTAGTGATGAGAAAGGCGATGGCTGGAGGGTGAAGGGAATGTGGGATAGAAAGGGGGAACCGATTTCAAGAATCTATGTATTGCCTCCTCCATGGGGGATGGGCAACAGAGAAGAGGGAGGAGGGAGACGTTGGACAATGTAACTTATGACAAAACTATAATAATTTATGAATTATGAAGGGTTCATGAGGAAGGGGGGAGTGGGGAGGGAGGAGGAAAATGAGCAACTGATATTAAGGGCTAAAGTAGAAGGCAGATATTTTGAGAATGATGAGGGCAACAAATGTACATATGTGCTTGACACAATGGATGGATGGATGGATGGATTGTCATAAGAATTGTACGCTCCCCCAATAAAATAATTTAAAAAATAATAATTAGAATTAATTCAGATATCACTCCATCCCAAAGCCCAGGATTATTCAGATTAATTATTCTATCAAATCAGGCTTATGGTATACATGCTCTTCTTTCATCACTACTCAATTTTGTATTGCTGCTTTCTCATCTGGGTTCTTTGTTATTATTAAGATAGAAAATTAAAAAAAAAAAAAAAGCACCCCCCGCCCCCGGACTTCTTATAAGCATGGATATGTCTGATTGAATTGCTTCTCAAACAATGGGTGTTCAAACCATCAAGTCACCACCATTGAATTTGCCAAGATATTTTGCTATATCTTAGAAAAGATGCACTTATAGCCAATACAGGAGCTGAAAATCAAACTTAGTTTTTAGTTTCTGGGTGAGTTGGCGATTTAGCTATTTGATAAATGACTATTCAAAAATGATCACCAAAAGCAGGTTCACTAAATTTATTTTAAAAAATAAAACCTTTCTTACAAGAACATTATATTGTGCATACAGCTCTGAATTGAATGTCAGGGACATGTGAACTACAGTTATTGTTATTTTCCCCCCTGTTTCACTGCACACACACACACACACACACACACACACACACACCTCACCTCTAAAGGTTATGGTGACTACAAAAGCAAGGTAGTCACAATCATTAATGGGGGAATTTGTTTTAAACTACTAGCAATGAACAAAACATAAAATTCACTTACTCCACAGCTGCTCTCAAAATGTCAATGTTAGTTTTTATATACCCTTCTCTCCCACCCTGTTTGTAATTCCATAACTTTATATCTGGTGTCAGCAAAGCTTTCTCTATTCCTTGAATGCAAAGCACCTATAAAGCAGAAAAAAAGTTGATGTTTTAAACTGACGCAGATTTTTTTTTAAAAAGAAGAAAATTTCCTCTCTAATCTTAAAAATCTTTCCAGAATACTGATTCACACCATTCTGCAGCACATACTGTGCATTCGGTCTCTGGTCAATTTTGCATTGAAATGTAATCAAAATTCCTGAGGCATGATGATTTTGTTTAATTATTGACCAAATTTGCCAATAATAAAAACTCAAGAGAACAAACTCATTGTCATTGAGTCACTTCTGACTCATGGCTGCCCTATGGATGCAGTCAGATCTTGGGAATAGTTAATATATACTTAGGTTGAAAAAGAACACCAAATGATCTAAAACCCTCTGCATAGAAATAATCATATCCTGAGATACCCTGTAGTGCATAAGCTGTCTGCCACTCTGATGGGCTCCATGGATCTACTACATATTCAAGTTTCTTCAGCACGGAAGCCAACCATTGCATCATAACGGTCTCTAGGTTACCCTCCTCAGTAATGAGCCATTAGACCTCCATCTCTAGGTGGTGATGGAGGGGAAGAGGAAGTTTCTAACCTTGGATACTACCTCAGCCACCACCTTCAGGAGAAAGGCCTCCACAAATGGAGACACGGGAAGTCAACTCGGACTAGGAGGCATTTTGTCAAAACCACCGGTTCCCTCTGTAAGGGAATGCCACAGGTCTTCCATGGTGATCATCAAATATCATTGTAAAATGACCATAGTCCTGGGTTTCATCACAGATTTTGAGATCATAAGACTGCATGTCCTTTGAAGAGTTACTAAGTTATAAGTTCCAGGATGATCTTTATGCATTCTACCAACCTATCAGGATTTCCTCCAATATGAATGAAATGTGGGTAGAATGAGGGCAGCATTCCTGGAAAAACTTTATTATTTTCTGATTGCTCTCACAAAGTTCTTTGACTTTAACATCTTTGACCCCCAATAATTTCACTTGAATCAACAGTCTCAACTTGCAAAGTTGCTCCCTTTATAGTGTTGGTAATTTAAACAAACCATGACATCAGACACAGCGGGAACTGGCTAATTGCAGTGGGTGATGACAATTCCTAGCCCTCTTCTGAAGTAGGGATGATTGTCTTCAGAAGTTTTTCAATTGTTCCAATATCAGCACTGAACCGATACTCAATATGCACTCCAGGTTACTGCTATTTGGGACTGAAACACTGGCATTGCAGTTTGTACGAAAGCCTTAGCAGTCTTCCATCCTCTCCCAGGATCCGTGCTCTGAAGCAGAAGGCTCAGTTCAAACACCTCAATCTTTCTAACACGTTTTCCTCTTCCCTGTCCTCTGTGGGGCTCTTAACAAATTCACCATGGGTTTCTGTGTTGGGGAAGGTTTCTTCTGGCTGTTCATTTTCCATTTTCTTGCATTCAATGGACATAGAAATCAGTTATCATAAATCTTTGCAGGGCAGAACTGAAGTGTTCTGACCAGAACCAACAACTGACACCCTAGTGCTGCAGCATCCACTTGAGGCCATCCTCTCTCCTCCACCTGTCACCTCAGCCAGTCCTTTGTTGTACTTCTACAAAGACAGAATCATCCATGCTTTTCAGGTTTAAGACAGTTATGACTGTTCTTGGTTGTTGCACAAAAATTCTATAGGATGAACATACCAGAGATTGTTTATCGATTCCTCTATAGTTGAGGATTTTGTTTTTTACCCCATGTTTTTTCTTTTGTGTAAATTGCTATATGTTTGTTCTTGTTATACTCTTAATTTCTTTAGGGTCTATATTCAGTAGACAGATTACTGGATCATAAGGTAATTGTATTTACATTTGTTTAGGGAAGTTTTATACGATTTCCATCATGGTTGTAAAATTCTGCAGTACCATCAGCAATGTAAAAACTTTCCATTCTCTCCACATGCTCTCTAGTATTTTTTATTTTCTGTTTTATTAAATTTTCCAAAAAGTATTGGTTTGAAGTAATATCTCATTGTTGATTTAGTTTGTGCTTCTCTTGTTGCTAAAGATTGCAAATATATATTTTCCTGACAGGTGAGACACCATGAACACGAAGGTGGTTTTCCCAGGACGAGGTTCATTCATTACACTGTGGATGTGCTGACCCCTGAGATTTCCCCAGATTTGGGAAACTCGACTGCATAATATGTGGCAGCGGGGGACTGCGTTTGCTTTCTGCCCTGTCTATTAAAAAAGAAAAAGAAAAATTGCAAATATTTCTTAATGTGGTTGTTGGCCTCCTGTATGTAGTCTCCAGTAAATTCTCTATTCCTGTCTGATGTCTATGTTTAAGTTTGATTATTTGTGTTTTTCTTGTTAAAATGTAGTAGTTCTCTATAGATTTTAGACATTAGCCCTTTATCAGTATTATTACTTTTTTTTTATCTCTAAAGCTTTAGTGAGAGGGGGATTAAGAGCAACTTCTTTATTTTGGGAGATTTCCCAGGACAGATTGGAGGAGAGAATGGGACAATTGTTTTTAAGTTTGAGCCCATTGTTACAGCCACTGTGAAAATACATCTTATCGAAGGCCTTCATCACTCTTCCTGCTTCTCCAATTTACCAGGTGTGTTATCCTTCACCAGGGACTGGTCTCTCCAAATACTATGTCCAAAATATAAAATCACTGATTTACACAATAACATCACTAAACGTTCCTAAACAAAATTATGGCCTTATGATATGATAAAGATCCATGCATAAATGAAAAAATGAAAATCTCTCTGGCTTCCAACATAACAGAGAAGAATTACATGTTTTATAGGACAATGATTAATGAATTTTTCCAATTTAAGTTAACCCATATCTAAATTACATTAAAATCTATATTATATTTTAAACTTGATAAATATTTTAAATATATGTTTTCAGCACACACAAACCAAGTTAGGCTTTAATAAAGTTCATGGAAAAATTCCTCATAATCTTTTTGAGCTCTCTTCTGTGTGTGAGCGGATGTATGTATTGCAATATATATACATAAATATGTGTGCATGTGTATATAAAATTACATATCAACTCTTAATCATAGAGGTGAATAAAATATATTAATTTACAAAATTATATCTCAACAAATAATTAATGTTTATCAATCAAGTACAGCTTTATTTTTCAAAATAAGAAAAGTATAAGGAAGTATTAAAAAATCCCAAGAGATTATTGATTATATATAAATAGAACTTTCTGTGGGTATATAATCTTACTCTAAATTATATAACATAGCATGAACATGTTAAATACACTGCCTTTTGATTAGAGCCATGATTTCCAAATTGTAATTATCTTTAAGTGTATATATGTGATGTCATATATGCTGAAATAATGAAAAATGTGTGAACACACATTTTAATGTAAATTTTAAAACATACATATGATTTCACATTTTTAACAGCAATGGCACAGGATATTTTTCATGAGGTTTAAAAATAAGGAGAAGATTGACATGGAGGAATGCAGAAAGATATTCTAGTATATTTCATCTTTTGATTTAGGTTAAAGAACCAGTGTACACAGGGACCGTAATAATTAATCCACCAACCCCAAATCAGAAGCAAAATAAAGACAGAGTATTCATTTCATTGAGTTGATTCTGACTCATAGCAAGCCTAGAGCTAGTACAAAAGCTCCTTGGGGGTCTTTGTTATCCTTCAGATCTTTAAACTTTCAAGGGGGCATGCAGTCTCATCATTCCCCTTGAATCTCCTGCTGAGCGTTGTCCTTGCCTTTGCAGGTAGCAATCCCCTTTGTAATGCGCTGTGCTACAAGGGATCCACAGATGCTCTTAATTGTTGCTTTTCCAGACTGTCTAGGAGGTTCACATTCAGAAACCTGCTGTCCAACAGAGGGAAATACACCCTGGCTTTGTACTGTCTTTAGAATTGTTGTTCTATTGGAACCAATTGTTGCAGTGGCTGGGCTGACTTATTTTAATTTATTTTATTTTGTCTTAATTAATTTGTTTCTTCTCTATTTTACCAAGCATGATGTCCTTTTCCAGGAACTTGTCCTTTCTGATGGCATGTCCAATACAGTCCTCCATGCCCTCATACCATGGAGTAGGTGCTGACGCACAGTGACCTTAGAGGGCACGGTAGAACTGCCCCTGTGAGTTGCTGAGTAGGTAGCACCTCTTTATGGGAGTAGAAAGCTCCTTCTTTATCCCATAGAACAGCTTATCATTTCTAATGCTGACCTTGCAAAAAAGCCCAATATGTAATCACTATGTCACCAGGGTTCTAAGTCAATGTGTCATTTGATTTCTCAACTGCTAATATACAGCTGTCATTTATCCGTTTGATGTCACTGTGTGGTGTGCAGGTGTTGCTGTAATGTTGGAAAATATGGTACTGGTATTTGAAAAGTCAGCAGGGTCAACCAAAGTAAACAGATTCCAGTGGAACTTCCAGATTGAGAACAACGAAGTAGGACTCAATTCACCACTTTGGAGGAAGGCGTCTCTGAAAATCATATGCATAACTTCAAAACATTGTCAGATACTGATTGTCTAAAATATGGAAAGAGTACATTGTCAGAGATATTGCCAGAGGATGAATCCCCGAGAATGAGGACACTCATATGACTGAAGAGGAGCTTATTTCTCTGAGGGCAGGTGGCATGGTGGCATGAATCCAGTAAAGCCTGTAGGAGTAGAGTCATCAAGACTTTCATTTGCTGATAGGGCATGACTTAAGGTAAGGAAAAACAGCTTCAAAAATGTGCTAATGATCACAACTTGGAATATGTGAAATATGAAGCTCAGAAAATTAGGGGTGCTCAAAAATGAAGTGGAACAAATATAGATTGATAGCACATCTCGAAAAGGACATTGAAAAATTAATCATGAAGTACAGTGTTGTCTATGATAGAAATATATCTATCTGCCTTCAAGGAAATCCAAATATTTTATTCAGTTTATTTACCAATAACAAAGCTATTGTTCTTGTTAGGTGCCAAAAAGCCGAAGAAATTGAGGAATTCTACCAATGACTTCAGTGGGAAACATTGATCAAACAAGCCATCAAGATGCACTGGTTATTGGAATATAAAAGTTGGAAACAAAGAGGAAGGAATAGAAGTCAGAAAAAAAGGTTTGGTGATAGAAAGCTAGCTGGAGGTCAGATGACAAGATGCAAGTTTGCAATACCAGTGACTTGTTCTTAGCAAATACCTATTTTCAATGACACAAACAAGGAAAATACACGTGAAGTTCTCCAGATAGAGTAACCAGAAATCCAATAGCCTACATCTGTGGGAAGAAGGGCTGGAGAAGCAAAATATCAGCAGCTAAAATCAGACCAGGGGCTCAGTGTGGCCCAGACTATCAAATGCTCACATGTAAGGTCAGGATAAAGCTGAAGAAAATGAAAACTAGTCCATGAGAGCCAAAATACGACACTGAGTCTATTTCACCTGAATGTCAAGAACATCTTTGACATATGAACGCATTAGTCAAAACCAAGGAACCAAGAATCGATGGAATGCCAACTGGAATACTCCAACAATTTAATGAAGCATTGGCCCCACTTACTCATCTATGCCAAGAAATTTGGACTACAGCTATTTGTCCAACTGACTGTAAGAATTCCATAATTTTACCCATTCCAAAAACGGCAAACTAACAGAATGCTCAAATTACAGCACAATATCACTGATATCACCTGCCACTAAAATTTTGATGAAGAGTATCCAATAATGGTTGCAGCAATACATTGACAAGGAGCTGCCTGAAGTTCAGGCTGGATTCAAAAGAGCATGTGGAGCAAGATTAATCACTGCTGGTGTCAGATAGTTGAAAGCAAAGATTACCAGAACAACGTTTACTTTTTTTTTTACTATGTCAAGGCATTCAACTTGTGGATAACATCAAACTATGGATATCCTTGAGAAAAAGGGAATTCCAGAAAACTTTGTTGTGCCCATGAGGAACGTGTATATAGATCAAGAGGCACTTGTGTGAAATAATCAAAGGGAATACTGTATGGTTCAACATAGGAAAGGTGTGGGATACGGTTGTATACTCCCTATTCTATACTCCATCTTTATACTGAGAAAATAATTAAAGACACTGGTTTAGATGAAGAAGAATGTGGCCTCAGGTTTGGAGTAAGGTAATTTACAACCATCAATATGCAGGAGACATCATATTGCCTGCTGACAGCCAGGAGGTCTGGAAGCACTTCTCAATGAAGGTAGAATCATGATAAATTGAGAACAGGTTGAAGTTATCAAGGGTTTTGTTTTGTTTTGCTCCACAATCAATGCTTATGGAAACAGCAATCAGAATATCAAAAGATGAGTTGTATTAGGTAAGTCTGTTAGAGATTATAGAGATATAATCTTTAGAGATTATAATAACATGGATGTCACTCTGAGGACTAAGGTACACCCAGTCCAAGGTGTGATATTTTCACTTAGTTCATATGGATGTGAAAGTTAGTCACTGAATAAAGACAGAAGAAGAATCAATGCATTTGTATGGTGATCCTGGAGAAGCATGTATTGAAAGTACCATGGACTGCTTAATGGACAAACCGATCTCTCCTGGAAAGGGTTCAACCATGGTGTAGTACATACTTCAGACATATTTTCATGAGAGACTGGGCCCTGTGGAAACACATACTTTTAGGTAGGGTAAAGGTACAGAGAAGCAGAGGAAGACCCTCAAGGAGAGAGATTGACCTCACGGCTGCTCCAATGCGCCCAGTCAGAGGAACAATTGTGAGGGTGGTGAAGGAATTGGCAGTGTAGCATTTTGTTATGAGTATGGTTGTAACCTACGGGGTGGCACTTGACAACAACAACAACGCCTGCATATTAATTGCGGATCCAAGTAAAATGAAATATTGACAACTTCAATCCATTCTCTGTTTAGCAGATATTATCTATTGGCACACTTGAGAGGCTTTCCTTTCCTTTACATTGATTTGTAATTCACACTGAAAGTTGAAATCTTTCATCTTCAGAAAGTGCTTCCAGTCTTCCTCAGTTTTAGCAAGCAAGGCTATGCTATCTGAGTAGCGGAGGTTTTTAATGAGACTTCTTCCGACCCTAAGACTTCATTCTTCCAATCCTGCCCTGGTATTCGTCTTACTCAAGATACAGATTGAATAAATGTGGTAAAGGATATAACCACACACTTTAGACCAATGCTTAGTATATCAATCTGTATGAGTTTTAGTTCACT